TAAGAGTGAAATCGAATTTAATAAAACAATATATTTTAATAATATAATAATATATTGAATTTAAAATAAGTTTATCATAAATAATAATAATTTTAATCCAATATAAATATAATTTAAAAGCGTATTATATAATAATAAAAATAATTTTATAATACATAAAAGAAAAGTAATATAAATAAATATATCATCAAATATTTAAGTAAAAAAATAATATAAATAAACATATCCTCAAATATTTAAGTATAAAATAATTAAAGAAAAAAAAATGGTCGTTGTTTCTAACTTGAAAATAATTAGAGAAAAAAATTAAAAAAATTATCATTACACTTAACTAGAAAATAATTATGAAAAAAATATATAATTAACTTGAAAATAATTATGAAAAAAATTATATTTAACTTGAAAATAATTTTAAAAAAATTGCACTATATCTTCTATTATATCTAATTTTTAAATTATATATTTATTTCAAGGTATGGTTATAGAGCCCAATGATAAATTGATACCTATTCATCAAATTAATTTTCTAAGAGATTGTAATTCTTATATGTCATTATATTTTTATTAATGATAATAATGATAATAAGGACAATGTTAGAAGGCACTAATCAAAGATAATAATAAGGGTATGATGACATCTATAAGAACGAAGACTATAAGAAAAAAGAATATCACCATCAATAAAAAAATAAAATTTTCTATTGAAATTTGTATGTCTTTATATTAAAATGAAAAAAATAAATAAAAATACTGGAGAAACGATGTCATTTAGCCTCTTAATAAAAAAAAAATTTCAGATAACCCCTTGCCAGTATCACCAACTTCTTCGATTTATGTAGTTTTTTACCAATTCATTGTTTATTCAAATTGTAGGGAGTTTCGAACCGGTTGTCTAACCGATTCCTGGTCCCATTTTTTGATAGTCATGGTAAAAACAATCCATAAATTAAATTATTAACAGATCCTCCTTTTAAGCAAAAGAATAAATCATAATGTATAGGGCCCTTAAAATATTTTCTTTCCCATTGCCGACAGGTCTCTCAACCTATATTTATAGGCATAAGTTTTGTTAAAAGAAAATTTTGAAATTTCATTGATATCTTACTTTATAGTAGAGAAGATACTAATTTTAAAATTATATACTAATGATTAGATTTTGGGTGCCCATAATGGTTTTAACCTTCAATTTCATCCGCATATTTTGGGAAAAAAAATTAAAATTATTTTAAATAATTAAACAAAAGCATTAAAAAAAATAGATTTCTACAACAAAATGTCATCAAATTGTTTTTCAACACAATCGAAATTTGTCTTTTCTAAAATTTTAATTTTAGGATAATTTTTAACATAACAAAAGTTGATCCTTACAACCATCATTGATCCAAGTACACCCCATGCATGTTTTCATTCCCGCAAGGAAATAAAATAGCATACACACCATATCCTTCCTGAGATTTTATTTTATTTTTTCAAATAATGTTTATATATATATATATATATATATATATATATATATATATATATTAGAAATACTCATCACAAATAATTGATTTTTCTTATAAATTTTAATGACCACTAAAATAATTATTATATAACTTTTAAGAACTGTTATGCTATATTTTTTTTATGTGCAATAGTTGCGAGGAAAGTTAAATAATTATGAAATAGAATATGAAAATATAATAAATATAACAGTTAACAACGCATATATTTTATTTCTCTCAAAACGACTACAATTCTCTCTTCCTATTACTTTCACTCTCCTATATTATCTCAACCATAATAATTATAATGCAAAATTTTCTATATAATTATTAAATACATCATAAAATATAATAATATAATATTAAAACTGAAACGTAAGTATGACATAATAACTAAAAGCTATATTATTTTTGATAACACAAATTTAACAAAAACCTGTGAGTAAGGATGGGGAATTAGATGAATGTGTCTCCAACTTGGTATTGACTGCTTTTGCTGTCTTGCAATGTTTTCTTATTTTTATTAACCTACTAAATAATTACTCATACTTATTTTATGACCACTCTCATGATGCTACTTTTTTTTTGTCTCCCATATTAGATTAATTAATGATGATAATAATAGCCCTATTTGTTGTTAAAAAAATTACATTTTTATAATAGTAAATTGAATGGATATATATAAATAACCATATATCACAAAGTATATATATATATATATATATATATATATATATATATATAGTTAAATACTTAAATCTTTGTTTGTGAAAAATTAACGTGGAATATACACAACAACGTACCAATAATTGTACTGCTACAAGAAATATTCTTAAAGATGAATTATGCAGAAAAGGAAGAGTATTTTGGAATATTTGAATATATATGTATAAAACTAAATCCTCCGAGTATAATAACTAAAACTAGTATAAACACGATTATATTCTTGTGGAACTGTGTTACCAACCATATAATATAAATCGTGAACCAGGGAGAGAGAGATAAACAGAACTCAGTAACATGTGGGGTCCATGGGTTGGTTCGTCAAAAGTCAATTTAATGGATAATAAAGCAATTTAATTCTCTTATTTTTACTTAGATTTTATTAGTCAAGAGAAATATTTGAAACGATGTTTGAGAATATTTTTTGCCACCTTTTGGTAATTGCTAGACACAAAGTCTAATATCTACCCTTAAGAAAGGATATATTCCTCACTCTACGGACTGTCTCATGATATCTTAAAGGTGAAAATTCTGATCCATCTCCTCATTTTCAGCTCCATGAGATCAAATCAAAGCTTGAAATTTTGCAGAGACAAGGAGGTATCATCGCAATCTATGTACACAGAAAACATCATTAGGGCCCCTCCATCATTTTTATCTTGACTACACCAAAGTATGTACAAGTTATAAACGTGAAATCTAACCATCATCTGATTATTTATTTACTTTATGAGGGCCAAAGATTCTCATGCTGAAGCCGGGACCCACATAATGCTCAAAATCAACTTGTTAGTTCTTAACTTGCATTATGTGAAACTACACAAGTTGTGTGCGACTCACCAATTACTTTAGACAACCCCAGAATAGAAATAACACAGCCTGCAAAGATGATGACAAAAAAAAAGAGGGAGCATAATAGTACTGATATAAAAATTTATAACTGCCCATTAGTTTACTTTTCTGCAACAATAGCAGTGAATTATTGAGTGCTTCTAGTCCAAGGTTCATATATGTCTTTTTCTGTGAGTGCAAGCATTAATGGTATTTCCTAGATGGATGAGATTCATTTTATTTTTTAAGAGAGAGAGATCACTAAAAGGTTTATTGCATTCGGGAATTCTTTTTCAAAATCTACAGTAAAATAAGGCCTCCAATATTATATATTGAATGGTGTCAATAATATGTTGGAGTCACAGCAAAATTTTGTGCTCCTAGACATTTTGGCTCGAGCTTTATTGATCATAAACAAGCTTCTATGTTTTAAATGTACGATTTGTATGGCATATGTTGAAGTAATTAATTAGAAGAGAAGGTGGTGGTCCATCAAGTACGTTTGCTCATTTTCCTTGATTATCAAGCAACCTCCTAATACTGCCCACGCATCTCTCTTTCTCTCGCTGCGTGTGTGCTCAAAACATTCATGGCAAAGGCATCATGATCTGCACTCCACCTCAAAACCCATGTGAGTTTCTATCATCCTTTTCCCCCTATTTTCATCCCGGTGTCTCACTCACTATCCATCTCCACAACAAAATTTTGGCTTTGTTGCACTCTCACATTAATTATCTGTTATGGGAGAATAATCAAACTGTTAACTCTGCCCATGTTGTCTTTACCACTCTTGTTCCAAGCTTTGTCTCATTGACACGTATTTAGAGAAAGGGAGATTTTACATCTAACCATATCAAACACAAACATAAGAAAGAGAAAGTGAGTTTTCACGTTGCGAGGGTCAGAAGGTTAAACTGTAACAATTGATAAAAAAACCATTCTTAAGATGATTTTTCAAATAATTATAAAAAGTTATAAACTTACCATGTATATCAGTTTATAATGTAATTACAGTATATATATATATTATTTGTTTGTTCTTAATATGTATAAATTTCCTTGATTATAATAACAGCTGTGTGGCCGTTTATTGCTTTATTACTTTTGCAGTCAAGAGGGTGAAAGAAAGGTGTAGGGTGGCTACAGTATATTAGGATGGATATGTAAGATAGAGGAGAAAAGACAGTCGTTACAAAAAAAAACCAACCCGGTTTTCTTTTATCCTGTTTCTTCGTTTCTCTCTCTTTCTTTTTCTCTCATAAACCGCCAACATACATGCGCTTCATAAATCATCAAAGCCTTAAAGTTGCTTGTGTGTTCGAAGAAGACAACTTTTCCTTTATTATTTTTCCCACTGAGCTTCAGTTAAAGTAGCTACCCGAGGGAATTCTGCTGTTTCCATGGTTAAAGCAGGTTTATAGCTCAACTGTATTCTACAGTTTCCTTTTTTTCCTCCTTCTTTCTCCTCTCTCAATTCATACTCAATCCTTATTGCTATGGATTTGATTTATTCTTTGAAATAGCCAAACTATATGATTCAGAATTGATATTTTCTTTGTTTTTTTTCCCTTCTGTCTATACACAAGGTTTTTATCTTCTTAACCTTTGTTTAGAGTTTATGTTGGTATTCTTCTTTAGCTTGTTTCTGAATTGAATCATCACCTGATCAACCATCTATTTCTTGATGGCTAGTTCATAGACTTTTGAAAGCCAAATTTCACTTCTTATTCTCTCTGTCAAATCAGTGAATATGATTGTAACATGTCATCCAATTTCTTCTCTTGATCTTTCAGGAATGTTTTTATTCTGATCTCAATCAAGCTCCTGTTATATACAAGAGAGAGAGATGCTTCGTTGCGGAGTGTTCCATAGTCAAAGAAATCCAATTGAAGGCCTCGTAAAGTTTTATCAAGAGGGATAGCAATAGCATCATCATATCATATCATCACAAGGGAAGCACCCATGAATAAGATCAGCAACTTGAGTTGTGTTAGGAGCTCTGATCTCATAGATGCAAAGCTTGAAGAGCATCAACTGTGTGGATCCAAACAGTGCCCCGGTTGTGGTCACAAATTTGAAGGGAAGCCGGTACGGAAAAGAAAAATTAAATCTCAGTAATATTCTTGCCTTCAACGAAAAGCCTTTGACAAAATGAAGAAGAATCACACGACAAAAGAATACCATATTCACATGTTTACGGCTGTGTTATCATTGGACTAGTTCAATTAATTTAATGCTGTGTCGGTATCCCTTTTCTCCGTTACCTATTAATTAGCCTATTGCTAAAGTTTTTGCGTTCGTTAAAGTTTTTCGTCTTCTTTAACTTCTTTCTCTATGTTCTCTCTCTTGTACACTTCTTCTTAATGATCTCCACCCTTTTGCTTTCTTAGTTATAATTTGAATTTCAATTTCAATGGGACCGGCAGGACTGGCTAGGTCTTCCAGCGGGAGTGAAGTTTGATCCAACAGACCAAGAACTCATTGAACATCTTGAAGCCAAAGTTGAGGCAAAGAATATGAAATCACACCCTTTGATAGATGAGTTCATTCCCACCATTGAAGGAGAAGATGGGATTTGTTACACCCATCCTGAGAAACTTCCAGGTTCAGATACTGAAATAGTAAAGAGAAGTATTATTAACAAATCTTCTAATCTATTTTTTAACATATTAAGTAAGACTTCATAAATTTATAATATTTTAAATAAATTTCAACAAAAATATGTTAAAATGTATATTATTAATTTTGTCGACAATAAAATTGAAATAGCCTTTAACTCTTTCACTTCTCCACTCAGGGTGCTTATAGTTTTCTCCATATTATTATTTAATCACGAATTTCGGTTTTAGAGTGTGTATATATATATATTGAAAACATAAAGGTTTATTTTATGTAAATCTAATATTGACTGTCTTTTTTTACATTTTCTGTGAACACTAGAAAACCTGCCTCCAAAAAACTTGAATATATACTTAGTCAAAAGGGTTTTGTGTTACAGGTCACCTAAGTTGACCTAACTTTGATTTTGGATTTTCAGGAGTGACAAGAGATGGCTTAAGCAGACACTTCTTCCACAGGCCCTCAAAGGCTTACACAACAGGGACACGAAAGAGGAGAAAGATTCAAAACGAATGCGACTTGCAAGGAGGGGAAACCCGATGGCACAAGACAGGTAAGACTAGACCAGTTATGGTGAATGGAAAACAAAAGGGTTGCAAGAAGATTCTAGTGCTCTACACCAACTTCGGGAAGAACAGAAAACCCGAAAAGACCAACTGGGTGATGCACCAGTACCATCTGGGCCAGCACGAGGAAGAGAAAGAGGGAGAGCTAGTGGTGTCGAAGATATTCTACCAGACACAACCTAGGCAATGCAATTGGTCAGATAGAAGTGCCACAACTGGTGAAGGAAGTGGAGAACAACAAGCAAACAATAATGGAAGAAGAGACAGTGGAAGTGGTAGCTGTTCTTCTAAGGAAATTGTTACTCACAGAGATGAAATGTCTGCTATCGTTGGAGTCCCTCAAATAACAACCTTCAACACTTCCTTGGACATTCAACAACTCAAATCCGACCATTTTAGCTTCATTCCATTCAGAAAAAGCTTCGATGAGGTAAACACATATACATAACTCATACGCAGTGCAGACTCGCTTCCATGTATGTATGTATATATAAGCAACACATTCATTGGGAAACTTTCCTTTATAGGCCACTTTCTTAGGAGAAATTAATGAACATGATGTTTCACTTAAATCTTGACTATCCATGGTTGTATGAGTAAGATAAATCTTACTCTTCTGTACAATAAGTATCTCACTACATAAAAAAAAATTACCTGATTTGAGCGAACGTTTGGTAAAAATGAGTTGTACAAAAAGGTGAAAGAACATGAAAAGGGTTAGGGAAGGCGTTGACATAAACCTTGCTTGCATAAACAGCATGAAATTGAATGGACCTGACCTGATAATAAATCAGCATCAGCCAACCACCGCATGTATATTACCCACCTAAAAAGGTAACTTTTTATGCTAATGAATAGTTGAATAATGAATTTGGGTCACATGCATGCATGTCGAAAGTGAGAAGTATCTAGAGAGGCTCAAGAAAAGAAAAGAAAAGAAAAGAGGTTGAAAAGACTAGCAAGCTAGTTAGTTCGATGAAATATTTGGTGATGGTTTAGAATTTGGGATGTTGATGATGAGCATTGCAGGTTGGAATAGGAGAAGCTTCCACAGCAAGAGAAGTGCAAGCACCAGGGTCGTGTGAGGAAGTACATGAACGGCATAATATTGTAGCACATCACCATCAACAACAGCAGCAGCAGCAAAATCAGCATGCGCACCAACAAATTGCCACCACAGCCTTCCATATCAGTAGGCCTTCGCTTCCCATCTCCACCATCATCTCTCCTCCACCCCTTCACCATGCATCCATCATCCTAGACGACAATTCCTACCATGTGTCCAGAATCATGCTTCAAAATGAAAATTTTCAGGTAATCATCACCCAATCCACGTTTCTTAAAGATGATTTTTGGTTGCTTCTAATATTTTCATGAGTAAATCTCCACCTCGGCCTTTTGAAATTGTTAATATTCACTTTATTATTTAGTCTCTAATTTTTCAAATATTATTAACTTTAGTCTTAATAAAATAAAATAAAAACTCATTTAGCCACTATCTACATAATGTATATTTTAATTTTTACATTCGAAAACTAATTTGGTATTTCTACATATATTATTGAATCCATTTTAATTTGAGTTGTGCAAATTGTAATATATATATATATATATATATATATATATATGTGTGTGTGTGTGTGTGTGTGTAAAGATTAAAATAAAATAAAAAATATATGTATAAAAATTAAAACACTTGACTTTTAAGGATAAGAATTAAAACGTAAAAATTATATAAATATAAAGATCAAATAATTAAACTAATTGAAGAATTTTTGTTAAAAAAAGTTAGGGAATTTAGACAAACAATTTTTAGTGGTAATTCTTTACTATTTTTCTCGTTTAATTTTCATGATCTAAATATAGATAGGTACTAAATAACGGACAGAATTTAGAAGAAAAAAAAAGGTGTTGGTACTGACTGAAATCACATTTGGCAAAGAAGAAAGGATTTTATGAAGAATGATACTTACTATAGTATAGCATATGTACAAAAACAGTAGGAAAAAGGAAATGGTATAGTGCAATCGAAGGAGCACCCCAAGTGTGTTGAATTAAGCCCAAAACTAGAGTTGTTCTGCATGGTATATATGGTGCACGAGACTGATTCATTAACTGGGGAAGCTTTTATGAGTGCTTGCTAAATTACGAGCATGGAACTGTCTTTTCACTTTTGGACTGCTGTTCAGACATGATGATTGAGATGTGGGCTTTGAATTTGATTTTTGTCTTTTTGAATGAATGTATGATATGTACATCCACATGGCAGCAACACCATCATAAACTTGCAGGAAGGTCTGCGTCTGGTTTGGTCATCATGGGGTGCACTTCAACTGATATCAAAGAGGTAATTAAGAACCTTTTGACCCTGAAATATATGAACTTTGTTTGCCATAATGGGACTGGGGCGAGAGAAAAAAAGGGTCAAGAATAAATAATAGAGAAATTTTCTTGTCCAACAAAGAATGTGTTATAACATGATTAACATGTGAAAAAAAAGAAATAGGAAAAGTATTGCAAAAATATGGTGCTGTTGTTTGATATAATATAACTCGAAACAATTAAAAGAAATTTAAAACAGTTTTCATCATTTTTAATTTGAATTGCAAAGACTAGAAGTCTTCATCCTTTTCTCTTTATTACTTTTTAGTATTCTCATTATGTTTGCATATCTGAACAGTAGAGTATCTTTCTTTACACCATAGAGAAACTTCTGCTAACATTTTCTCCCACGGAAGCACTGCTCCTGATGCTGAATATTTTTTGAAAATTTTAAATTTCTGCTATAAGAAGAAAAGATTGGAAAAGGGGACAGTAGCTTAGAATTTTTTTTTTTTTTTTGCAATCCTATCCTTATTAATGAAAAGTTCTCAATGACTTTGACTATGAGGTGGAAAACTATGAGCCAATCAATTCTCTTGCGCGTCCTCACAGTGAGCATATATATTTCATTCAACAACAAAAAATCCTAATCTACTCACAATTTACATTTTGCTTGCAGGAATCATCCATTACAAACCAACAAGAGGCTGAATGGTTGAAATACTCTTCTTACTGGACAGACCCTAGCAACCTGCAGGATCATCATGAGTAGGAGCAGACAAAAAAAAAGAGAATAAACAAAAAAACCACAAACAAGACAACATCATTGTGGTCATCATTAATGCTTGAAGCATACATCAAGTTTCTTTCAACAAAAAGCCAAGTAATCGGATCCATGGTTTGCTCATTTTCTTTCATTCTCCAATGGTGCAAGTTTATGATAAGCTTTGGTGGCTCTCAGCTGAACTAACTGTGTGGAACGGAAGAAATTGGATAGAAAGGGAGAAAGAAAAAAAGGGAAAAGAAAAGAAATCCAGACAAAGCTGCTCTCCCTCCTGACACATGGTGAGGGAGAACGACCAAAGGAACAAAGTTAAACGCACCCTGCTGCATAAAAATCATCACTAGTATGATTACAGTATCATCCTCCTTATTGTCCACATTATTTTATTATTTTAAGATGTTTGTATTAGTTCACTTTCCCCGTTTGAGCAAACTCAGGACCACCTGGTTTGGTCGTGCCATATACATGGATAATTAGTTTTTCCATAGTTAAGATAAGTTCATCGTTTGAGAATCTTCTATCAAATGGTTCATATATTTTTCATTATTATGCATTTTATCAATTTTACCAAAGAATTAATTTGAACCATCCACTTAAACATGATTCTTTTTTGCTATATCATTTCTCTTATGTTCTGTAAATATGTACTGCTTGTCGTAGGGTTTCACTTTCTTCTTCTTTCCACATTTTTAAAGGCTAGAGAGGAATCATATAACTTTTACTTTTCTTTTACAATTTATCATCGAGAACTTTAGGGCAACCTCATGCTAGCTAGCATGCAAGATTTCCAAAGGACCAAGGTTATGTTACTCGTGACCTTCATTCGGAATTCAAATTGTTTGTCCAGTCACAAAATACAGCAGGGATAGTTGCTCATTTAGGAATGTTTGAAAAATTAAAATTAATTTGATTTTGATTTATTATTTTCAAAAAACTTATTGTGTTCGAATTTTATTATAAAAAATATATTTGAATTGATTTACTAGTAAGAGTTAAATTCAAAATAGAATAAATATATAACTTCATCCCCAAAGTGATAAATTTGTATTCATTTCGTGTCCTCGAAATGTGTTTTTAAATATGAATAAATTGTGTAATTAAAAATAAAAGTTTTAATTAAAAGGGTATAAAATTCGAAGCAAATATGATTCCAAACTTGTCATTAAGTTGACAAATTCGACTATTTTCTATAACAAGTTAACATATTTAATTAAGTTGGTAGATTGAAGAAAAATGTTATTAGAGTTGATAGATTTAAGAACTAAATTAAATGTACATATATAAATTTGAATTAAGGAACCAAGTTAATTACTATTTAATTAAAAAAATATATATTAAACATGAATTATATTGGTTTTAGTTATTTACTGCATCTGTCTTATCTAAAACATAACATATAATAATAACATGCATAAAAATATTATTAAAAAATTTAATAAATGAATTAAAAATGTCAATTTCAATAAATAAAATAAAATTTATACTCAAACATAACAAAACTAATAAAACTCAATAATCAATTCTTAATTAATAATTTAATAACTAAAATATTTATTATTAAATCATGCCATAAATTTTTTTTATTCGAGCATAATCTTAACCGTCGAAATAATGCCATCAATAACAGCATGAAACAAACAAGTGGTGTGTTTCAATAACTTAATGTCATTCAAATAAGAGCAGGTTAGAAAAACCAATAACATAACATTCATAAATAATCAAGCTGATTTTGCATCCAATGTTATGATTTTGTTCTTTGCCAAAAGAAACAAACACAAACTATATTTCCATTTGTATATATAATTTTATCAGCAACAAAGAATTTTATTTCAGACCCATAACCAGTTACAAACAATATTACTTATGCCTCCAATATGTAATCTTCTAGATCTACTATATATCCTTATATGCTATATTATAATTCAAATAATTGCTCGTTATGTAGTAGTACTTGACACCAATAATTTGTATGTCCAAATTTCATGCATCCATGTTCAGAAATCTGCGGTAAATCGCTTCTTCCCTGGACCTTTTACTGTTGCTGATGTTTACCTAATAAAAAGAAAATTTACTTTAGAAGATGAGTTTCGAGAATACCTTTTAGGTTTGATGGGTCCCTCAGAGTGCTACTCTTGTTTGAAGTTTGAAACGCAACGCATTCATTATTTAAATTGCCCACCCCACTTACCAAATTATTAATTTACTTCTGCCAATTAATGATTTCGCAATGCTACACTTTGCTTTCCAAAGACATGTACGGCTTCTGTCTGTCATATGTTCAGGGAATTAAGGAGGGAAATTCAATTTCTTATTCAACATTTTGAGCTTTTCACATTTTATATAGGTGGTTCTCTTAATTTTCTGATTTAGTTTTTCAGAAAGAGAGTGATACTAGGAGACAAACAAATCTTTTTTGCTTTATTCTGAGTTAGATTCGAGCTTTTCCTGCTATATTATTAGAGTAAAGATGTGCTTTTCTCATCTTAGACAGAGAGAGAGTAACCAGCATGTTAGTGCTTTAAAGGGACATGCATGCAATAAAGGTAAACTCAAGGCGAAAGAGAGGGTAACTTCATAGTAGTTTCTGAAGGGAATAAAGAAATGTGAAGACAAGAATAAACTTTTTATAGGTTCTTTTATTCTTCTAGTCTTTTTTAATAACTGCGTGCCATACCCAAACTCTTAGCTAGCCCTACTTTCTTTCAGAGCGTAAGAGAGAAAAGGACCACCCATAATAATTACATATCTTTTTATTCAGTCTCAAGTATATATGATCGTGTGAAAATAGATATGATACCTATAGGTTTGGATCTCTTGCAATCAAATGCTAGGAGAATCTTTAAACTATTGCTTTTAGATTGATGTTCTAATTTAAATAAACAACGAGAGAAAGAGAGGATGAGTTAGTGTGAAATTAGGAAGAAGAAGAAGTATCCGTTTCCATATTCTATAATTTACAAATTAAAGAAGGTCTAAAAAGGTGATATATTCAGTTCTCTGGCTTTATGGAAGATTTTGGATGCTTTTGAAAGTAACATATATGGAGAGAGTATAAGTGTGCTACCAGAGTTATAGTTTCTTGGTATGCCATAGATTTGGTCCCGTAAAGAAGTTGCAGAAGGAATGGTGGTAGTGCAAGGACGAATATAACAACATGCTCTTATCGCCCTTTTCAGATTCTTCCCAAGACCCCACCAATTGGTTGTTTTAATTTTGTGCTTCGTTCTACTGTGGCAAGCTCGACTTATACTCGCACTCGAAGCTAAAGAATCACATCAATAACAATAACATGAGTAGATGAATGTTACTGTCGAAGAACAACCAAACTAATGAGTCACCTAATCAATCTGCAACCACCACACTCTCTCAGTCATTGCCAAACCTTGACTACCAATCTCTTTGACAACAACCTACGTTGATGAGAGGTAGTAATCATGAACAAACCTACATTGACAGCAAATTTTGCTGTTCTGTTGTCTAAAGTTCCTTGAGTTCCTCCTAGTTATGAAATGGCTCAAAGACCCAATGGAACACATGGATGTGTTCAACCATATGCTAAGGGGCCAAGGGTCCTACAGGATATCTGTGGACACTTTAGAAATTTGTCCTAAGTGCTACCACACCCTCTTGCTAAGGTCAAATAAAAACTTAGGGTGACATGACATAAAACTTCACAAACCATTTTTCAATGGGAAAGACAAAACGACAGAACTTGGCAAATTAACTAAGTGGCCTCAATAATTCAAGAGATGGGTGAGTTTAGTTATTTAATCTGTTTCATACTCAATCTTTAATGGTAAAAGATTCAATTTCAGATAATAGATAAAAGAGAGAAAACTCAAACCCTTAACACCAATAAATTAGTACATAAACATCTACAACAAATAAAGGAGTTTAGGAATAGAAGAGAATGCACTGATACAATCAACTTCATCCACATAAACCTTTTTTTAGACTGAATATTACCCACCTTAATCCATCCTCACAGCTCCTGGAATCACACACCATAGTCAATCTCGAGATGTAAAACATTTTACTCATAAGTCACCTACCTTGACAACCCCATTATTTAATATGCCTTTATTTATCTCTCTAATCTAAATATACCGGAGAAACCATACATGAACTAATTTTTTTAAAAATCACTTTCAAAGTGATGACTACACAATCGAAGTTTAAAAGCATTTTCTCTTTCCCAGCTAAAAACTCTGATATTAATTTTATTTCCCTTCTTTTGGCTCTGGCTACTTTCTTTTTTAGTGAAAAGATTTTTCTTAGATATTATTAGAAGACAGAAACTTCAATTTCTAAAATTCTAATGAATCCAATTTGATCAGATAAAAACATTAAAAAAGTTGTTTTAATATCCTTTTCATAACTTCAGATATCAAATAAGATTATCTCATTATTTCGTAATCCAAAATAGCGGATAAGGATAGAAAAATACTTCATGCACTTTGCATTCAAAAACTTGTTCAATTTCCCATCCTAAGCTTTTGAGAGTCGAGTCTTCATTGTTGCATTTAAGTCTTCAGTACAAACTCAAGTATCAATGAGTTATTTTCTATAAACATAACTTTCTCAATTGAAACTTAAGTTTATTTTGTGGAATTCGAGTCTTCCATATGATACTCATTTTATCATCTTATCCCAAAACTATACGTTTTTAAACGATTGACCCTTTTCTTTCAAAGATGATTTAATTAGTGTCTTTTTATAAGCCAGTTTAAACATTAATAACCTGCATAGATTATTTAGCCTTGGTTGCCATGTAAGAAATTGATACAGTGAAAAAAAAAGGTGAAAAATGAAGTTATTTAATAAAATGAAATAGAATGAAAGGAAATAAGAAAAATGAATGAAAAGTGTAAAGATGCAGGCTTTGATAAAAGAAAGCAAAGTGAGATAGTTTTTAATGACTTGAGTGTACCCTTTGGCATTCTTTTATTTATTTTTTATTAATTTTTCCCATTTGAAGTCATATATGTATTTTAAAAAAATGTTAGAAAATATTTACTGAATTTAAAATATAAAAGAAAATATAAATTAATGAGTACAAAAATATTTGTGGAGAATTACAACAAGAAAATGGTAAGGTACCTCCACGTTGAAATGTGTGGCTATAATAAATAAATAAAAACAAAGAGATAATTGTTAGAAAATACAAGTATGAGTTTAAGTCTCACATTGTGTAAGAATAATTTTTTTTTTATTGAGAGTAGTATTAATCATTTTGTATGAGTTGGACTTATGTCTTATTGATGTTGTATCTTCCCACCCAAGTGGTATCAGAGCCGAAATGTTGATCGTTACTGAATCAGAAGTGTGAGTCAAAACATTGTGTAAAGGTAAGTGAACGTTGATTGTCAAAGAACATTGTGTAAAAGGTAAGCGAATGTTGATTCTCAAAGAGGTAAGTGGTTAGTGGGTCAGAATGATCTGTCTTTGTACCCAACACATTGTGTAAAGGTAAGTGAACGTTGATTGTCAAAGAACATTGTGTAAAAGGTAAACGAATGTTGATTCTCAAAGAGGTAAGTGGTTAGTGGGTCAGAATGATCTGTCTTTGTATCCAACAAGTGATATCAAAGCCAATTGTAAGTAAAATTGGAACAACTCGTATTTTTTGTTAAACATAAGATTTTTATTTTTTTTGTCTCACATATACATACTTCCACTCAACCAAACCTATGTTTTCTTTCTTTCTTTCAAATTTTTTTTCTTTCTTTCAAAATGTCAATTTGCATTGTCTTTGATTTCTTTCTTCAAGCTCAAAGGTTGAAAATTATAAAATATAACTATACAACAATCTTTAACTTTCAAATTCTAACAACTAAGTTGATTATAAAATAGGAAAAATTTGATAAACAACTCAAATTTAACAAATATTAGTTTAACAACTTAATTTATCAATAAAATATAAATTTTTAATTAATTTTATTTTAATCAACCATTTTATAAATATAATATTAATAATCAAGATTATATAAGGAGAGTAAATATATCGAGGTTATATAAAATATTCATAGTAGAACTATAATTGACGGTAGATATGAGCCTTAGACTTACAATTCTCTAATTAGTCTTATCTAGTCACCTTCCAAGTCAATGAGGTCAACTAAATTAGGGAGCCCTTGCTTTAGAAATATCTAACCAAGGTGCACCAATTAATTGAGTAATTTACTATAGTGAAAATACATCATGTTCCTAAGGAACAAAATGCTCGAATATAGATCTCACAAAAATTTCCTACACCAAATCCACAAGAAAACATTATTAGTGTTCTAGGAGATAGTCACACCCTCCACATAATAATAGTGAGATCTCATATTTTTTTGTGTTTTAATGCTTATTTTGGTTTTAATTTGAACGGTTGAAAATATATATTATTTTGTATTTATATTTAAGAAATTAAGAGTCAGATATTGTTATTTAAATTTTTGTTAATTATATATATATATATATAGAGAGAGAGTATAAAAAGATTGTTGAAGCTACTCAACATTATACATTTTTTATCATTCTAAAATATATTTTCTAAACATAAAAACCACAATTAAAAAAAGTATTGAACTTAACCATAATAATGAGTCTGTATTAGGATTAAATATTGTATTAAACATAACCACAATAATGAATTTTTGTAGAGAAGAATAAAGACAAATTTAATCCTAAGTGTAATTAATCATTGTTGTTCCTCTGATTGTGTTCATTGTGACTTGTGTTGTGTTAAATTCTTGCATTCACATTAATTCCTCTTGGAAAGCAGTGGATGAAATTCATCTCTCCCTTCCTTCCTAAAAGAAATGCCTATTTTAAAATAAATATATTTTGAAGTTAACGAGTAAGAATACTTTCACTTCAAATGTAGAGAGAGAGTATGACAATAGTTTGTTTGTATGGGTCTCAAAATGGAGTTTCATCAATAATTTTCTTCTTATTATGTCTGATCTTCTGTTTCACAATGTTGGACTCGCACCAACCGCATGATATGGAGAGCGAATGGCAATATTATCATAATATGCATACCGCCCGCTAATCCAGAATATAAATTATTGTCCTTAATCACAGCTTTGTTTAGTTATCCTTCTTTCATGAATCTACCTCCCAATCCTAATACATCATGGAATCATTTAGGTTTAAATATTCAGTGTTGAACCTTTTGCAGATGCTGATGCCTGTCAGTATATGCTCCATTCCGCATACATGTGGCTAAGAACACTCAGGTATCTCTTCTTATTTGCTTAAATTGGTTGGTCGTCAAATTTTTGAATAAAATATATATTTCTATTTAATATGTTTGTGTACAAATATATTTACATCATCAACTGATAATGATATTAAACACACGAGTTTAAAATAATCACAAAATAACTAAGCATTAAAATTCGTGGCTCATTTTTATGCTGCTTTATCGCAGTGATGACAATGAGGGACACTATATCTCCATACTCATTCCCCTGTTTCATCGTAATACAATAAAAACTAAAATAAACGCCACTGGGTAAATCTGCAACAGCCTGCAAGGCTGTCAGAATGAGAAACATTTATATGAACTCTCATAAACTTCACACACTCTCGTACAACTTTTCAAGAACAATTAATGAGTAGAGCATAAGAATTGCTTTTAATTTCAATCTAGTGCTGAATTTATCCGTACGAGATTCAGAACTATCTCATTTTCTCTGCCTAGAATTGTAAACTCTGAGAGTCAACAGGTTAACTAGAGAGTTAAATAATTCGATGTACAAAATAGGTAGGTGAATGAGTGAATCGGCTAAGGTTTTGTATGTAAAGACAAGTAACCATACGAGGTCACCACCTGATCTCACATCAACAATGCTTTTTAACTTGCACGAGGATTCACTTGGATTAACATACATGTAAAAGGCAAATATATGTACAAGAAACTACATGTTCCCCTTAATCTGTAACACAACATAGGAGAAACCTTCTCTCCTATCTTTCTTTCTATGCATCCTCTCTTCATGTAACACAATTGTACCGACTTTGGGAAATTATGAAACTTCACTTATTTTCATCATCATCTTCTGTACAGGCCACCTGCTTGACAGAATATCAAGCTGGCTCAGCAAGCACGTGACTCAGAAACAGGCAGCCGCCTCATCATCGGTACACTACTACCAGATACTTTTAAAGTTGCAAACAGGCAAGATAATCTTGCAATCATGGGCATAGTCCTTGGAATTTTAGGAACAATGGTCAGCTCCATATCAGCATCACATGTGCTATGATAGCCTTCAAGATCGGCTTTGGTTATAAGAACTGCGTCTCCAGAGGGAGAGTACGGTAAAGGACAAGGCTTGCGGTTGTTATAGTTTTGAACAGCCTGCTCACAACTCAAGCAACGGTTACAAATCATTGCCAAAAAAAATACTACAATAATTGCATAAAATCACTAGTCTTCTACCTTCCACTGTGATGGTGCTAGTAGGACTCTAGGTCGTCGAGATCGAACATGTTCAAGGGCAGCAGCAGGTGTCATGTGCTTGTACTCAACCTAGAAAACACACGTAGACCACATGGAGAACATTCAACACCTAGAGGCTTCAATAATGCCACAATTCAATATAAAGATCATCAATTACCAGATAACAAAGAACAATTGTTGTACTCCTCCCCCGCCCAGCTTTACAATGAACATAAGTAGTTTTACCGCAAGTTTCATTCTCTGCCATAACAAAAGGTAATACACAACCATATTTCATCACAGACAAAAGTAAAAAACTAAGAACCACATTAATTGATGCATTAACCCTCTCCCCCCAAAAATTTAAATGAACGAGAAAACACCCACGGTGAATGAACTGCACAGCCTGGTTGATATCAACAATCGATGGGGCAAAGAGATAATCTCTAGTGGGAATTACCAAATGATCAATCCCGTGTGCCTGAAACAAATCAGGTAAAAAACCATGATATCATGAATGGTTTATTTAAACTAAAACAAATAAAGGAAATACATCAAACTACTTTGCTTATATAGAAATTCGTTCAATAATCAAACCCACACGTTACCAACATCAGAGATTCCACAACTTCCTAACTGCAAGAAGGCTTTAGTAGCACACAAAATGCAAAGACAATAGAGACATTCAGAAAAGGAGAGGGGATATCACATACCCGATACAACGACGATGGCACCAAGGTTTCATAGGGCTCATTGAGCGTAATCACACCACCCACACCAAGGTTCTTCAAATGAGGAACGTCTTTGGGGAACGGAACAGCTCCCAGTAACAAAAACTGAAAGGAACAACAAACAAAATAAACAAAACCCCAACTACGATTCTCGGCAACCAAGGTACAATTCCATAAACAGGTTATACAACAATTCGAAACCACAATTAATCAAGAACCAGATTGAAGAAGATCGAGAGAGAGAGACAGAGAGAGAGAGAGAGAGAGAGAGAACAAAACCTCATCAATTTGATCCCACCACCTGAACTCAGCTTCAATTTTGTTACGAAGCACATTATACAAGAGTGTGGGATAGAACAGGATCCGGGCACCCGCACCCACCAACGCTCTCTTCACTTCAACGCTGACAATCTGCCTCTCACAGTTCTCTAGTTCGTCTCTACTACACTCAGAGTCATCCAATTCCTCGATCTTCATCGCACGCACCAAACGAAGCCAAACCCTAAAACAGCATCACCGATCCCAAATTGGTTCGGTTAGAAACCTGAAAATTGAAGGGAATCAAAAAGCAATCGTACCTTAAGGCTGACTTGGGAACGAAGGAATACGCGAATTAGCAAGAAATGGAATCGAAGAAGGGAAAAGAGGAAGAGACAACCACGAATTTTTGGCTCAGAGAGAAAGAGAACGGTGAAAGAAATGAAATGTTCACAAGAGTAGAGTGTGGATTGTGGAAGATCCTTCACAAAAATGCCCTTGCTCCTCAACTAAATTACCCTTCTATTTATAATATTATTGCTGGAAAGCATGGGTAGTGTGTGCTTTTTTGCATGTACCACCATTTATGATTATATTATTAGTCAATGACCAAGTTTATATAATTTAAGAAATTGTATGTATTTATTTATTGTTCTGAAATTTAATTATGCTATTTTATATGATAATTTAAAACTTTAATTCAGAAGCACTCATAAAACTTTATTTATTGTTTAAGTCATTATTTATGAACATTTTATTACTTTATATGTGACCAATTTTCTGTTAACAAGCTTAACATATTATTAATTATTAATTATTAATTGATCGATAAAAATATATTATGGAAATAAATTATTGTCCCATTTCACCATCAATTAAAAGTATGAAAATTAAATATTTTATGTATTTGTAGCCTCAGGTGTTTTAATATTTTATAGAAACAATAAATAGGAGTATTTTAATTTCAATTTGTATAATTTTTGTTTTTAATACGTGTGAAACTAAACTATGGAATGTTGAGTATAGAACAAGTATAATTAATAAACCTAAATATTATTCTATATTTCTTACCATTAGAATAATAGAATACCTTCATATCTTTGATTACTAATAGAAAATTAATCATAGTAATTAATGTGGTATAGAATAAGCTCCGAATTGAATTTAGGTCATTAGACGAACCAAACCCGTAAATTGCTTTACTTCAAATTCAACACTTTTTTTCATACCACAACAATTGCTCACGATATTATTATATAATACCTAATAATGATGCAGGTAAGGATTTGAAATTAGGTTCCCCATTAATGTAAATCTCTGATTTATTCCCAATTTCATAAAATTAAAAATATATTTTAAATTATTTTATACTGTCTTTGTCCTCATTTAATATCTTGTAAAGATGAAATGCATTTAATATTTGTTTTTAAAATGTGACAATGGTAAATACATGGTTTAAAAGATTGAATTGATTTAATAAAATAATATTTTTATAATATAATAAATTTATTAATAATAATATTTTTTGTAAAAAAAAATAATAGATTATTGTAAAGATTAACCTAAATTATAATGAAAGTTGTACATTTTTGTTTTCACTGTTTTTTTTTTCACTCTTTTCTTCTTTCCAATCTTTTGAATAGACATTTCATTACATTACCTTATTTTTCTCTTACTTTTCGATTCTTTCCATTTCCTTAATTTATTTTAATTAGTTTAATTTTTTTAATTTGTTTCAACCAATAAACACCAAATAATGTTTCTTGTTATTTATATTTTTTTAAAGTATTTGATATTAATTTTAATAATAACTAATATTATTTTATTTCTAATTTATATTTATTAAATTTTATTATATGATATTTTTTAGATTTTATTTATTATATATCAAAATTTATCTTAATAACATAATATATTTTGAAAGATTAAAAATAATTGATAATTATAACTTTTATTCATTTAAACTAATTAAATAAGAATTAACTTATTAAATTTTTTCTTAAAAATTATATGTTTCATATTTATTAATTAAAATGATAACTTAAAAATAATTAACTTATACATATAATTAAATATTTAAATATAGTACTATAACATAAAATAAAATAATAATAATAATAATAATAATAATAATAATAATAATAATAATAATAATAATAATAATAATAATAATAATAATAATGTTATAAGTATTATATATGTGGAGTCTTTCGGATGAGATTGATGGGAGAAAAATAACTCCAATGAGACATAAACTCAATCTACATAAGAGGATTGATACCAATCTCAACCCACTTACTTCATTGCATATTGATCAACTTTCTCATTCTTATTCAATATGACACTCAAACTCACACTTGGATTTTCCAACAATTTCTTCCTTAAGTATGAATTTTTTTACATTGGTACATCCCTCGAAGTCATTACTGGTTCTTCCATGTACCACCGTTTATCGTAACGAGACACACTTACCTGACATACTGTCAGGAAAACTTTCGATATAAGGACCACTCTCAAATTGTCAGTAACCACAAACTATCAACTCTAATACCACTGTTATGTCTTTTTATTGGGGAGAAACAACACTAATAACACATGAGTTAAACCCACATAAGGGATTTAGGGATGACAAAATAGGTCAGGCCTGGTGGGCCGACCCGTCATAATATGGCGGGGCGGGTTAGTGTTTTCGACCTACCAGGCCGCTTTGTCCCGCTAACCGCAGGGCCAACTGCAGGGATGGGACGAGCCGACCACGACCAGACCTAATTAATAAAAATAAATAAATTATTATAATAAAATTAATTATAAAGATAATATATAAAGTTAAAAATTTAAAAATAAAAGTTTCATTCTCATGAAAAATATTCTCCTTCTTGAAACACAACTTTCTCTCTCATGTTCTCCTTATTCATCCTAAGCACTAATTATTTTTATCTTTATGACTTGAATTAAAGGTATAAGAATTACTCAAACAAGAATAATGTGAAGTTTTATCAAATAAAAAAGACATAGGTATTTGAATTTTTCAATATAAAAAATATAAATTTTATAAGTTTTAACGTTATTTATATATATATATATATTTGTTATTATTTATTGTTATGTAAATTTTATTATTGTTCTAAATTATAATTTCTTAAATAATGTATTGATTTATATTATTAAATTGAAATAAAATATATATATATATATATATATTGAATTATTGACAAACAAATAATAATCTTATTATTAAATTTATTAAAAAAAATATTTTATAAAATAAATTATTTTTTTCTAAATTATGGTAGGTCAGCCGATCAACCCGCCTTGGTGGGGCGGGCCAAAGTCTACAATCCGTCATGACTATAACGGCCCAGCTCGCGCTGGTCCATTTTACCATCCCTAAAAGGATTAACACTACTCTCAACCCAAAAACATTAAGACATTGAATTATGAGTCTTATTTCATTATATGTTGTTTAACGTTCTCATTTTTACTTAACATGAGACTTAGAATCACTTCCCCCTCAAGTGTGATTCCCTTTACATTGGTACATCCCTTGAACTCAATAGTGGTCCTTTCATTATGGAACACGCTTACCTGACATATTACTGTTAGAAAGACTTTCGACACAAGAACCACTCTCAAACTGCTGATCACCACACAAATCATTGGTTCTGATACTACTGATGGATCTTTTAAGAAAGATTCATTGGGAAGATGTAACACTAATAAGACATGAGTTCAATCAATATAAGATACTAAGATCACTTTTAACAAAAAAACATAATGCATTGGATATTTGTCTTACTTCGTTATGTTGCTTAACTTTATCATTTTTATTAAGACTCACACTTAGATTTTCCAACAATATATTCATACAAAGAAAAAAAATTAATATTTATTTTACTTACATATTTTTATATAAATATAATAAATTAAAGTATATCCTTAATTAATAATAATAATTAGACATTATAAAATTATAAATATTTATTTATATATAAAAAATACATAAAAAAAATATTAAAATTAATTTGTTATAATTATAATTATTTTTAAAAAATTAATGTAATACGAAATTATATTGAGAAGAAAAAAAATTGAAATCCAACAAGAATGATAATAAAAACTTAATTTATAATTTCTACTCGAAACATGAATCAAAGACAAAATTAGTCTCTACTCACGATATAGTTTAAATATATATTTAACTACTCCAAATATTATCAATTAATTTTACGTGTAAATCTAACCTAACTTTTTTTTCTAATTATTATATTGAAAAAAAAACGTACTCATTTATTTTGTGGGTCAAAAAGTGGTCCAACATATAATATGACACATGTTAATATAATTATATAGTTTAAATTCAAAAGTTTTATGACGTAATATAATGAAAGATTTTCTTTCAATAAATATTACTAAATATTCACGATCTATAAGTATTGATATGCCAAAATGTAGTTTTACTGGATAAGAGTGAGTGATTTGTTATTATTTTAGTGAATATCCAAACAAAACAAAGGAAACTTCAGTAGGAGCCACGACAAAGAGTAGAGACCCCACAGGATCATCCAGATAAAAAGGGACAAGAAAAGAAGGATCTTCATCTAATCCAAAATATGCAATTACAAATTTTTTATAAACTAAATCTCACAATATTAAAAGAAAAACAATTTTTTTTTTAATAGAAAGAGATTGTTGGGTATGATGAAGCCGACTTTAAACTGGACCACGTTGAAAATTAAGAATGGCCCATTTTCTTTAAAAATTTGACAACACACAAAATGAATATTTGAGCCTAACCAATGAAATCATTGGATCTAGCTAGGGCTTTAGTGGATACAATGTACTACGGCCCTGCTATTCGCACCCCCAAATTACTATTTAAATCGTTCTACCGAAGTCAGAAAACAAAATTATCTCTTTGATATTTATTTAATTCAAAAATACTTCGGATGAAACAAATTTACCTAGATTAAAAGTAATAGAATCGAAACTTGTTTGTGCTGTGTTAATTTTTTCTAAAAATAATGCAACCAAAACTTATTTACATTATGTTAAATGTTTCGAAAGATAAGTTGACAAATACATGTTTTTGTTGTGTATTTTGAATTCGAAAATTTTTACTAACAGAAGAGAAATATTTTTCCATTGTGTTGTGTTTTTATATATAAAAAAATCCAAAATTTATTTACATCAAGATATTCTTGCCAAAAATTAAGTAGGGG